AGAAGCCCCAACAAAAGGTGAGAGTTCACACACCCGGCCATCCTCCCCTAAGTGAGGAACACCCAGCAGCCTGCACCCCATGATAGCAATAATCAGGGAGAAGAGACCTGATTATAAATGAAGCCAATCCTCCCCTTCACCATCTCTCTGAAAGTTGTTGCACCAAAGACTTGGGTCCAGGGGAATGTGGAAGCCCTAATAGACTCAGGACGCACCCACTGCCTAATCAGTTTGCAAACTGTCCTGAAGCTAGGGATCAGAGCAAAACTCAGCCTATAAGATTTGAGCAGGTTGATGGATCACTGATAGGGGGAACCCCTGCCACACTATTCACAGAACCAGTAAGGCTAGAGATGGGCAGCACTGGGAAATCATCTGCTTTGTACTGATGCTAAAAATGACAGAGACGGGGATCCTGGGTGTCCTGGCTAGACAAATGGGGCCCCAAGGGAAAGAAAAAGTTAAGTCTAGGAATAGGCCATCTTCCCCCTCCCAGCACTCCAGAAAGAGGAGCTGTCCAGCATCTGAAGGACACTAAGTGAAGCAAGAAATTGAGGGCTGCATCAGAACAGCTCCTAGAGACTTCACAGATTCCCAAGGAATACCAGGACCCAGCAGAAGTTTTCAGTTAGCAAAATGCAACACATGGCCCCCTCATCATCCCACTGACTGCGAAAAGAGATTATGACAGAGGTGAAACCACCCAAAGTGAAGCTGAACTCTGTGACCCCAAGGTGATGAAATGAAGGAGCTAAGAAAGTACATCGATAAGAACCTGGCCAGAGGGTTCATACAGCCAGCAAAATCAAGGGTGGCTACGCCAGTGCTGTTCAAAGAGAAAAAAAGATGGAACAATGAGGCTATGTGTGGATTTTAGAGGAATTAACAGAGTCTGCATGGAAAATACGTATCCATTCCCCCTGATGAAAGACATGCTGTTGCACTTAGCAAAGAGGAAAATCTTCACCAAATTGGACCTGCAAGAGGTATATTAGTGGGTGAGGATTAAGGAGGGAAAAAACAGCATTCAATTGCCCACTGGGGAGTTTCCAATTCAAAGTGATGCTGTTCAGCCTTCAGGGGGCCCATGCAACTGATCAATGACATGCTGCATGAGCACCTGTACAAAGGGATCCTCATATATTTAGATGACATTCTCATCTTCACCAAAACTATTGAGGAGCACATCAAATTCATGCACCAGGTGCACAAGAAACTCCTAGTGGCAAACCTGTATGCTAAACTATCCAAGTGTGAATTTCACAAGGCCAGCCTAGACTACCTCGGATATCAGGTGTCAAGTGAGGAGGTGGAAATGGACCCAGGAAAAATCAAAGCTGTCCTAGATTGGCAACCCCCTTGAATCCGCAAGCAACTCCAAAGCTTCCTGTAGTTTGCTAATTTCTACAGACAGTTAATTCCCTTCTTTGCTGAAATCGCCCTCCCAATCACTGAGCTTTTAAAGACCAGAGGGGGGATTGAAACTTCAGCCAAGTCAGCCCTTAAAATGAACCCTTGAATCACAGAAGGCTTTTGAGATGCTTAAAAGACTTTGCCAAAGAGCCAATTCTAAAGTACGGAGACCCAGAGCAGCCTTTTATCACCCAAGCGGATGCCAGTGACATGGTGGTGACTGCAGTTTTCCTCCAAGAAAACACAGAGTGGAAGTTACAGCCATGCGCTTACACCTTCCAAAAGCTAGTGGAGACTGAAAGAAGGTGGGCAGTATGGGAGAAGGAAGCATATGCAGTCTGCTGGGCTCTGCTGACATGGCACCACTTCCTTGAGGGAAACCAAGTGCCTTTTGAAATATGGACTGACCACAAAAACCTCGAGGCACTTAGGACCCTGTGGAAACTTTCACCTAAACAAGTTCAGTAGGCCCAGTACTTCAATCGATTCACTTTTATGTACATCCTGGGATGGGGGGACTAAATCTTTTGGTAGACACCTTGTCACAAATGCCACAATACAACAGAAGCACAAGGAAGTGGTCCACGCCATGATGCCTCCATCCCAGAAAGCGACATAAGCCACCATCAGGCAACAAATGCAAAGGCAAAGAGCTGAAGAGGGAGTGGGTCTGACTCAAAAGCTAAAAACTAAACTGCCAGCCAATCCATGATACAGGGTTAACAAAGGGCTATTGTTCTGACCCGGCTCCCAAACATGAAAAGCCCTTTGTAGTTAATAAAACATTCCCTTTATTAGGAGTGCCAACAGCCACTCTCTCACAGCAGGCTACAAAGTCTCTATGTCCTATGGAAAGGGATGCTCACTCCCTTTCCCCCTGAACTGGCCCTATACACCAGGGGTCTCTGTCTCTCTCTTCGTACACTTGAAAAGGAAGTCCTGGAAGGTGTGCTCACTTTCTTCTGGCATCAGAGAGACACACATACACATGCTCAGGAGGCACTGCAAATTCCAATAAGAATTCTGATAATTTCCAGATAGGATTCAGAAGTGCAGACTATCAGTGGACTGGCAGGGGGATAAATAGTTGTCTGCCACACCTATTCATGCTAGGGTGGGGCTTCACTAGCAGCAGTAGCTCCAAGTACTTTAAAGAAGGCATGATGTATAACAGGAAGGACTTTTCAGCTTCCTGAAAACCTTGTACTTGGCGAGGGGGCAATTTTGGTGGTCAAAGATGAAAAGGGACATTGAGAACTATGTCAAAAAATGTGCAACATTGCTCCAACAAGTAGCTGACCCATCCTGTCCATAGGAAGAAATCACCATGGATTTTATAGTAGAGCTTCTAGAGAGTTGGGGAAATACAGTCATTTGGACAACGATCAACCTCTTCTCCAAGCAAGCCCATTTTATAGCCTGCTCCAGTCTCCTATCAGCCTGCCAGTAGCCAAACTATTTGTAAAGCACATTTACAAACTGCATGGGGTTCCTAAGAGAATCATTTCAGACTGCGGGGGGGGGGGGGGGGTCCAATTGTCAGCCAAATTCTGTAGGGAATTTATCAGATCCATTAGGTCCTCCCAGGGGCTTAGCTCAGCATTTCATTTAATACTAATGGGGTGGCAGAATAGACTAACATGATGGTAGATCAATACTTAAGATGCTATGTCAATTACCAACAAACTAATTGAGCAGACTTGCTACATTTTGCTGAGGTGGCATACAACAATGCAGTGCACAGTAGCTGTGGGTGTCATGACCCGGTGCAAAACACAGAGGCAACAGAGTCAGCTGATAGTTCAAATTGCCCCCTATTGCTCAACTTTCCCCTAAATGCAAACTGATAAACATTGGTTCCCCCCGCCCCAATGCCTTTCCAAATAGGGGACAAGGTTTACCTCTCCACCAAGTATTTAAGGTTAAAGCTACCCTGTAAAAAGCTAGGACCAAAATTTATAGAACCTTTCCCTATCATGAAGATTATTAACCTTGTCACAATGCAGCTGAAACCCCCCTGCCTATTAGTGAAAGTGCATCAGGTTTTCCACAGTAGCTTGTTAAAGCCAGTAATAGGGTCTCAGGCCAGTGGACCGGATAGCCCCAAAGCCAATCATAGTGCAGGGAGTGCATTATTATCATAGTGCATTATGAGAGAAAAAGAATCCTAGAATCTGGACTGTACAAGGGGAGGCTACAATACCTGTGATGATCCAGGGCAGGGCACAAAGGCAACACAGTTAGATAATCAGTAGGAGTCCCTTTATTAGCTCCAACTTTGCCCCCAATGTCCTGGTTATCTTCTGGCTGGAGAAAAACTCCCCCAGGAACAGCCTTCGGCTGCAGAGAATCAAGCCCGAAATGTAGCCAATAAAAATTGTAACTATAAGTTCAATCAAGGCAAGGTGAGGTAATTAGTCCGGCAGGGCAGGAGAAGGAATTCCAGATGTGAAGGAATGGCAGTAATTCAACATGGTTGGAAGGATGCCAGGAATGCAGATAACCAAAGTCAACACAAGATAAACTCACATTTGTTCCCAGCAGACACTGCACTCAGCATGCATTTCTTTTAAACTCTCTTCCCAGGTGTGGCTAATGAAGGGAATCAGGGCCCTTTCTTCCCCCATAATCCATGCAACCCACATTGCTCTCTTTTCCATTCCTCACTGTGTACCCTAGGATGAAGAGGGAGTGGGCCTGGGTCATCCTCTGAATTCCCTCTCCCTTGTTCTACCTCTTCCCTGCTCTGCCTAGCCAGACTTTGCCCTTCCCCAGTTTCCTCCACAGCCAATGGAGCCACACTCCCACTCCCTGTCAACTTTTCGTCTTCCTCCCCAGATTCAGACTTTGACAGGGGCATAACAACCTAGTGCAATGGAAGGGATACCCATTGTCTGAGGCCACCTTGTTTAAAAGCTGGGATATAAAAGCAGATAGACTTATTAAGAATTTCCTCAATAAATTCCCTCAAAAGCCAAAAGAACTTCTGAGGGAGGGATGGGTGACTGATGGAAGACTAATTTATTTTATTTTTGAATTTTCCAGGAACTTCTCTTGAGTTAAGGGGAGAGGTCTGACTGTCAACTCTGAAGTGAACCTGCTGTAGCCATCTTTTACTGTCTCATAATTGCATGAATCCTGAGAGGTGGAAGGGAGGGGGAAAGTAGATAGATTGGCTAACAGTTAAAACAAAAAGTTTTCTTATGGGAATCAAGGTCATCCCAACAGGTGGCAGTTGAAAGAGGAGAGGAGTGACCAAGCAGCCTGCCAGATACTTTCATTAGATAATGTGACTGGTCACATCTATGAGGGAGAATATTTGCACTTTTAATTAGGCTAAAACCGCAGGAACTTGTAGAGTTGGTTCTCCCTAGCTGTGCTGATATGATGTATCCAATAAACATGCTCTTTGAAGAATCTACGTGCCTTGGAGTTCTGCTTTTGATGGATGCATTACTTGGAATGCTACATTGTAATTATGTCAGTACAGAAGCTTCTCACTTTATGATATAAAAATCTTAAACTTGGAGATGAAGCTATACTGTAAATTATTTTGCAAAAGTCTAATTCTAATTTTATTCTTCTAGGGTCCAAAAGGAGCAAAGGGCCAGTCCTTCTATTCAGTATGTATTACTAGAATGAATTGAGTATATTTTCTCATCATACATTTATTTCTACACTCAGGTACACACTGGCTTCCATTAAAGTAAGGATGTTCCATTGGGACCTTTTCTGCCATGAATGCTAATGCACATGCAGACATCAAACCTATATGTTGTTATATGGATATCTGCAGTATGCCACATAATTTTTATGGTACTATGAGTGGCTAGTGAGAATGTGCAGGTAGTCAGCATGTCCAATATCTATCCAAATAGAACTAAAAGAAAGCTGGTTAGGATTACTCACTGAGCATTTAAATTTGAGAAACTGAAATCTGATCATTTCTTATCTGTTGAAATGAATCCTAATATTTTCAAAACATATTGGAATGATGATTCTTTTAAATTCTTGATTTAAAAAAATCTATAATGCCTTGATATTGCTGCCTCAGGACACACAGAAACTGCCAATTTTGGAACATTGCATTAATACACATTCTTGAAAACGTTTTTATCTAATAATATTTTTACATTTCATTTTTTTCAGCCTTGTGAACTTATTGAATATGTACAGAAACATAGCTGTAAGTATCTCCACTTCATCTTTAATATTAAATGACAGAAATATCAACCAAGAGCACAAATTGGGAAGAACAGAGAATATGTTATATAAGAAAATACTGATTTAATTTAACCATTTATAATGGGAACAGTGAGGTTGTTAGCTCTAATTAATTGAATTTCATTTATTTAAAATATATGTATACTGTTTCTCATTAAAAATGATTACATGTTTCTTTAAGACTTAAATCATGTTGTTTGATTCTTGTGGGATTATAATAGCATAAAAATATAATGGAACAAGCATAGGTTGTATAACCAAAGCTACATTACTAACCTCTTAACTGAGGAGACCAGAAATTTTGTTTATGCACCACTAAAAGGTCATGTTAGATTACATTTCTTTGACTAGTTTTGATACTACAGTATGTTAATTGTCTACTATTTTTTTCACTTAGAAATGATTATACCACTAGTCATTCAGAGCTTCTGGTAATGTAGATACATCAAGAACGTTATCTCTGGTCAAAAAATATGAAAAGTATGGCTGTTTACATATGAGAATGCTAGCAAATGGTTGAGGCAATGTGATCAAACCCAGTGTGAAAAAAATGGTGTGGAAAAAACCCAAACATTTACACAAAAGTAATAAAACTACCAAGATGACCAGCTTCCTTTTTTATACATTGTTCCTTGCTGAGGCAATTATTGGATACCTATAATCATTAATAAGAACATCTTATAAGAGTATCTCCTCTCTTTAAGAATTTTCATAATCGTATTGCTTGAAATAATATTTTACTTTCTTTCTTCTGTGTAGCCTGCTGGACAGGTGAGTATTTTCCCAATAGTTAATTCTCCTTTTGTTCTGTATGAAAGTATAATGACCTCAGGCCTGTGTAGCTTCTTCTCCTTTTTTTTTTTTTTTTTTACTATTTTTCTGTTTTCTACATGCAGCCCTTGCTCCACCATTAATAGTAGAGTGAGCACATAAAGGATGCAGCTGCTTCAGAATGCATGCCTTCCAAAGGATGCAGCTCTTTTATTAATGAAGGATGGGTGCTTTGCTTGCTCCTCTTTTAAATGCTTTGTACCATTAAGTTTGTATCTTATTTATTTATGTTGATTGCTTTTATTAGTATCCTATTATGATTTATGTTGATTGCTTATATAGTATCCTATGAGTATCACTGAATGTTGTATCTTATGATTTATGATGATTTTATTTTATGATTATGTTCATGATTTTTCACCTATTGCTTGTATGTTCACTACAGCTTATGCATCAGAGACAAATTCCTTGTGTGGCCAATCACATTTAGACAATATATCTATTCTATTCTCTAGTCTAGTCTAGTGTGCATATGTGACTCAGTTCTGCTTGTTATGTTTTGTTGTCCTGTCTACTTTTGTAACCTTAACGAGTCCTAAAAAGGGCAGGATAATTAACTATCCAAAAAGATTGTCGTCCAATATGGTTGATTGCTATCTTTGGGCAAGATATGATTATTTTTATAATCTTATTTGCTTTCCAGGAATACCAAAATGTCCAGCATATCCAACAGAATTAGTATTTGCTTTGGATATATCTCAAGATACCAATCCTAAGATATTTGAAGAAATGAGAAAGACCGTGATTGATATTGTGAACCAAACAAACATCAGAGAGAGCAATTGTCCTGTGGGAGCCAGAGTGGCTGTTGTGTCCTACAGCTCCAACACCAACTATCTGATCCGCTTTACAGATTTCCAGAACAAGAACAAGTTGTTACAGGAGCTCAATAGACTTTATTTGCAGAGAACAACCAACAGACGGGACATTGGTGGATCCATGAGGTTTGTTGCCAGGCATCTCTTCAAGCGAACTCTCCAAGGTGCTAATGTGAGGAAAGTTGCTGTCTTCTTCAGCAATGGAGAGTCTGACCATCCTGACTCAATTGGTACAGCGGTCCTAGAGTTCAGTGCCTTAGGTATCCAGCCAGCAGTCATTTCTTTTAAAAGTGTCCCTGAAATTACTCAAGCTTTTGAGGTGAGTAACTTGCCTTTTTTCTTTTTGGTTATCAGAAGCACTGTTTCAAGAAATTTAGCACATACTGTATGGAGCCTGATATGATATTTAAATGTTACAGATCAAATTACTATAAATGAAGGCCTTTTCATTGTTACAGCCTTTTTATTCTGTCCTACAGATATGTGCTATTCAATAAATATCCATACTTATTCCATCTACTATTCCTATGGAGCTCCCAATGGGTGGTATTTGGAATACAAAACCTCAGACACTAATATAATTCTGGCTTTGTTGTGGTTATGCCTTTCTCTGAGTTTCTTTCTCACTGTGAGAAAAGAGGCATAAAACTGTATCTAGATTCTCTATGGGGAAAGATAAAGCCATTCCTTGAAGCAGCCAGGGAGGAAGAAGGGTACTGGCAAATCAGCACAATTGTTTAATTGTAAGAAGGATATGGAAATATCTTAAATCAAGCAACAGAACAAGGTGAGGATTTCTATATCACAGCTCTAGAAGACTCAGTGCAAAAACTGTTTTTGCAAAATATTAATTCAAAATAATTAATTGGCTCAGCTAATGAAGTGAGTTGGACACAGGGAGACAATATTGATCTAAAATTGAAATAACCTCCACCCATAAAAGGATCCTGAAATGAAGACCAAACAGCCTAACTATCTTGTCTGGCTAACTCACCCATATGTTCTTCACAGACTAGGATTCTGCACAAAGGATTGTAATCTTGAAAGCCAAAACTGGGGTGTGACTTTATTTGTCTTACCAGCATGGCACCATGGCACAGTAACAAAAGACAATGTATCATATCTATATGAAGAAGCTATTGTGGATAAATATGAAAAACTGTACTTATCCTTTGGTATTATACATTTCATGGGCAGCAGACAGAAGTTATTTTTCTGTATTGCAGTTTTATTAACTTAATTAGTTATGGTTTAAGGACATCTTTCCTATGATGAAGAGAATATATATTTTATGAAATCCCAACCGTCAAGCATCAATTCTTATCAAACATTGTCCTGCAAGCTGTCATTGGATTTAATAATGATGCAGACAGAGTCAGACATCTTGTTGCCAAGTTATATATATTTTTTCCATTACTTTAGATGGACAGCACAGGATTGTTTCAAGTTATCCACCTCCATCAGAAGAGTGATTATCTTTCAGTCTTAGAAAGACTTCAGATGTGCGTAATTTGCTATGGTAAGAACACATGAAAATTGCAAAGTAATCAGATCTCAATTTCAATAATTTTCTATAATTAAAATATTTATGTATTATTTGTAGACAAATGCAGACCAGATGAATCTTGCTTCAGAACGCAACCTTTCAAAACTGAGGCTTATATGGATGCTGCATTCATTCTGGAAAATTCCAGGAAAATAAGCACTACTGGATTTGAAGAACTAAAACATTTCCTAAGTAGAGTATTGGACAGCTTTGAAATTTCTACAAATCCAAAGACCTCTTTGAAAGGTGATCGGATAGCTGTTGTGAGTCATGCTCCACTGAATTTCCAATTCCAAAGACAAGAGCTTTCAGTAAAAATTGAATTTGACTTGGTGACATATGAAAGTAAAAAACAAATGAAGAGACATATTGAAAAGTCTTTTCAGAAACTAAATGGAGAAGTAGCACTTGGCCATGCCATAAAGTGGACAATTGATAATATCTTTTCAGAAGGACTTAACCAGAGAGAAAAAAGGGCTATTTTTATCATATCTGCTGGGGAAACAAGTCATTGGGATAAGGAAGTGTTGAGTGATGCAGCCCTAAGAGCCAAATGCAAAGGTTATGCTGTATTTGTGCTTTCAATAGGACCTCAATATGATTACATAGAACTTATGGAACTGTCAAGCCTTCCTTTGGAACATCACATAGTACAGCTTGGCAGAATCCACAAAGCTGAACTTGAATATGCAGTCAAATTTCTGAAGCCATTAATACATCTGCTCAAAAGTAAGTTGCATGATAGCTGACTGCTCTGCAGAGCTCTCCAAAAAAGAAAAGAAAAAATACTGTTAGAGAATGTTGCTTTTGTTTCTATTGAATATGCAGGACTTTCTCTTTAGGGAAATGTTTATATCTTTTAGAAAATGATAATTCATTAAACATCTATTTCAACTGTACAGTAATAAAGATGAAAGCAATGTTTGAAAATATTTTAGCCAAATCAGGTAAAATAGTTGGGTGAGGTCCAGATTCATAACTAGAAAGACTGAAATAATCTTGAAAAAAAGATTGATACAATCTTATTTAAGGCAAATTAAAAGATGTAAGACATGGGTTGAATTCTTTGGACTGAGTTAGCTGAAATGCTAAACCAGTAAATTTGTGTTCAGATCAACTGCCGGGAGAAGAACCAGGTTATTACTACCGCATCTTTTTATGTATCTGCCAGAAAAGTAAGGAAAAATTATCATATCCTTGGAGATTCAGTATCTCATACTTAGTCCAGGATTTCCGCAGGTAGGGAAGACAAAAAGAAGAAAAAGTTGGCTATATATTTTAAAACAACATAAATAAATACATTAACATAAATACATAAATACATTAACCTGTAATTATTAATAAATTAATAAATAAACCTTTTAAAAATTTAATTTTTCCAACTTGCAACATTTATTAACTTTAGATAATTAATTGTTATCTTCCCAGTACTATTTTCTGAACTAATGTAATTAAGAAAAGTTATCACAATAATTTAGAATAGGAAACTGGAGATGATAAATCAGAACTAAATAGGAAAAAAAACCTTGTCCTTTACATCCCAGAATATTTTGAAACTTTGACAACTGGTTCTGGTCTGATTGTAAGTATTAGCTTTGATTTGAAGGGAAATCATGAATGTGTTCAGTGTTCCCACATTTTACCCTATGTTTTACAGGATAGGCAGTGCCACCCTTCAGGGTTTTAGAGAAGCAAACAGGAGACTCTCTGCATACCTAGAAACTGAACAGAATATTGTCCATGTGCATCTATTTCTTCCCAGAGAAACAATCCTTCTCTGCTTTGAAATTCTGGGTTTAGTCAGAAATACTTATTGTGATGACCGGGGGTGTGACACAAAGGCAACCCAGCCAGTTAATAAGAATGCCTTTATTAGTTTCAACTTTGCCACCCAATGTTCCAGTTACCTTCTGGTCTTGAGAAAAACTCTTCCAGGAACCTGCAATCGCTTTTGGCTGCTGATATTCCAATCCAAAACAGTGTAAACAGAAAACTTTAAACTATAAATCCAACAAAGCAAGATAAAGTAATACACCTGGCAGGGCAAGCTAAGGAGTTCCAGAAGTGAAGTAACATAGCAGTAAATCCAACCAGTTGGGAGGATTCCAGGAACTAAGATAACAACAACCAACACTAGATAAACTCAATATTTGTTCCCAACAAACACCCCTCCCAACTGGTTCTTTAAACTCCCTCCCCAGATGTGCCTTGTGAAGGGAATAGCGGCCCTTTCCTCTCTTGTAACCCATGCAACCCACATTCTTCTCCATTCTTCTCCATTCTTCTCTGCGTGCCCTAGGATGAAGAGGAGGTGGGCCTTGGTCTTCCTCTGAACCTCCTCTTCCTTGTTCTACATCTTCCCTACTCTGCCTAGCCTGACTTTGCCCTTCCCCAATTTCCTCCACAGCCAACAGAACCATTCTCCCACTCCCTGACACTGTTTGTCTTCCTCCTCGGATTCAGACTCTCATGGGGGCATGACACTTATAATAAAGAAACACTTCATACTTTTAAAAAAAGATTTTAAAAATCCAAATAATCTCAGAAAACAAAGATTAAGGTTTAAGTCAAAGATTATATCTGAAATTTTGGAGAATCACTGTGCTTTGAAAGTACATGATAGTGGTTTAAATAAAACTTTAGGCCAGGTTTTATATTAAGATAGGAACTGAAAACAGTAAAACCTTATTCTGGCACAGAGTTTAAGATTGCAGTTTTCTCACATGTGAAAGTAAATATCACTCACTTGCCATAATAATACCATTTGTCTTGATAGGGGAAATACACAGCTATCCAGATTCAGAGCTAATGAGAATATGTGCAAAAATCAGTCATCAAAAACCAAGGTATGTTTTACAGCACCATGTGAGTTTTCTTGCCTCAGTGATCTGTTCAGAGGCATTGTGGATTCCTGCCTACAAACCCTCATAGGAAATCTTCTTTAGTTCAGCTGTCACTATAATCTTGCTAGAATTCAATTACTCCTTGCACTCAATTCCTTTGGAGTCTTTAGGAATGGGCTGGTCTGAGCAAGAGTTAGTCTCTCATTCTAAATTTCTATTTCAGTTGAATGTGAAATAGTAACTGCACTAAATTAAGTCTTGTATTAGACAGTAATAGAAATAGTGCACTCTGAAATAAAAGATATGGTAGAAGAATGGCGTAGTTATTCTACCTGTGAGACTTCCAGAAATCCTTTGTTTAACTCCAAGACAGGCATAATCTCAAAGCTTTATTCAGAACAAAAAAAAAATGGTATCGTCTGGTGGAATTTCAGTACTGGTATACCTCCCACAAAATTCCACCTACCTCCATCCACTTTCACACCTCATTAATCACGGGAACCAATTATCTTGCATGTACAATTTTTTACTACATCACTCTCTGTGTCCTTGACTTTCAAACTCATATTTTTTCCTACTAAAAACTATGTCATTACATCACTGATGACAGCAATGAATTTCAGAACTGACACTACCCTGAATGGAATGGCATCCTTTCCTGTCATGGGTCCTCTGCATTTGAAGACTTGTGAAACAACTTTCTATGAAAATAGCATGTTAAAATGTTCACTTATCCTTCAGATTTACCTCCAGGCTCAGCACAACCTTCACTTGTTGTCTAACCATTCATCAAGTTAAAAGCAAAAATATAAAAGCTCACTGAAGCAAGGCAGCCAGCAGTCCAATACAGCAACAGCAAGAACCATATTAATCAGTGTGGTTGGCTATAGGCTTCACTTTTAACTTGCATATGTTGCTTCAATGGGATTGGCCCACTCCTTGTATTCTGACAGAAGGGGCCTAGTGCAGACCCTATCAGTCAAGGAATTTAATCTGCCAGGATCCAGGAAAAGTGCCTTTTATGCCATGATACTTGCCCTGTGGAACATCTTTCTGCTGGAAGTGAAATGCATCCCCACCTTCTGGCCTTCTGAAAAGGCTTGGGACCTCAGTAGAGCTGCATAAGGCTAGAGAGAGTGTGTGTGTGTGCACGCGCACCCTCCCCCCGAAACTGTTATGCAACAGCAGTAATTCTAACGTGATACATCTTGGTTTTATTTAATAAATAACATATAATTACTAGAAATTAATGTCTCCAAGTTCCACCAATGTTTTGTTTTGTTGGGAAAGAAGGTTCAGGTCTTCTTTGAGGTGATTTAGAAATTATTTAGTTCTTTACAAAAGCGAATAAAGATTATGTTATGCTGTCTAGCTTTGAGTTTTAATTACTGTAGAAAGCAAGGGACTGGAGAAGTCAGTAAAATTACAGACACAACATTCAAACCCACTTTTTAGCAATAAATTTTCCTCCCCTTGCTGTTGTTTAATTACATTATAAAATGTGAAAAATTATAAATACAGATAGCTGAATAAAGTGATATTTGTATGATAGAAACTAGAAATGATTACAAGCTGTGACAATTTAGATAAGCTAAACTAAAGGTGAGGAAAACAAAGTTTAAATGAATGTTAAATATGACTTCTAAAATATTTATGAACATTGGGCTGTTTAAACAGTGCAATTAATGCTAAGTATGACATTGATAAACAGTTGCAAAATCCTTCAAATTATTTTATGAGAAAGCTTTCAGAGCTGACACTACCCTGAATGGAATGGCATCCTTTCCTGTCATGGCTCCTCTGCATTTGAAGGCTTATTTGTGAAGGTTTATTTAATACTGTTGTACCCAATTCGGGTCTAAGCCTGCTGCCACAGTCAATGATGGACGCCAGACACAAGGTGCAGGTTTTCTGATTGCTTTTAATTGGAGTACTCCAAGGAAAAGGGCGCCTGGTCAAAATGCCAAGAACCAACAACAAAGGATTAAGTAAGCTGTATACTTTTTCACTAAAGGAAGAGGCAGGACAAAGTGAGATAATAAGAAATATTATTTAATAAACTTTTTAGTAATAATTCTACAATTTGTTCTCTTGGTCTCTAGTTGTCCCTATTCCTAAGATTGGCTAATGAATGCTTCAGGAGTTATCTAATACACATTTGGTTTGTAAGCCATCTCTATTCCTAACTTTTAGCTGCAAGTTGCCTAACTCTTGTTACTTTTATCAGCTTTCTAACTACCCAGAATTGTTACAAACTTTACATATGCATATTTCTTGTGGATAAGAATCCTTTGTTCTTGCCAGACTGACTCCACAATTGCAGTCTTCCTGATTTATTTTCAAGTGTGTGCCATGACCTGGCTTTATTTTAGCACACAGCCCATCAATATTGAAGTTTCCACTGTATTTTTTATTTTTTTTGTTAAACAATAAATGTTTAAAAAGAGCATTAAAAAAGAGAAAAAGAAACAAAAAGAATCTTACTGGAAAAAATAGATAGTTATTTAATTTCTAACTTCCCCCTTCTTTATACAATTTACATTGTCTGTAGACAGACTGCCTTAAAAACCATATTGTAAATATTTCTATTTGCCTAGCTGTGCCATGTATTGTGTATACGTAAGCCATTATTGCTGAATTTGAATTTTATCTTACTATTTTTTTACAGACAGATCCTTTTTATTTCTTTTTTATTGTTTTGTATATTCCGTTAATTTCACTATTCTCCAAGTTTAAATTTTTAGTCAGACATTGTTAGCTTAGTCATAAAACTCAGTACAATCCATTCTTGAAAATTCAGCTATTTTTTATTTCACCAAATTTTAAGATTCTTTTTTCTCCATTAGTTGAGAACGATTAATGCAGACTTTTTAAAAATAATAACACTTTCAAAATTTGCTTATTAATGAAATTAAGAAAAAATATGTAGCATTTTTATGTATTGCATTAAAACATTTGCCAATACATTGACTCCAGTTTCTATTACATTTTTTTTTGCAGCACTCCATTTGACAAGACTCCACCAAATAAAATTCGTTTAATTGATGAGAATGACTCTGTTTTTCCAGAATACCTGCAAAGTGATTCTTTATTCCCTGAAAAGATAGCCAGCAATGCTCATCCATCTATTGTAAGTAGATTTTCATTTTTTAAAGCACCTTTTATACATTGCCCAATTACATTATTCTAATTAGCCAGCTATGTAACTGTGTAAATTAAGATATAAACATTGCAAATATTGCTTCTTTCCCTGCTGTTGCATAGATAATGTCCTTTGTTGTGATTTCTTCCACTATCCACCATTACACGTCTATGTATAAAGAATATTTAATACTAAATATTACGTGGATCAGGCATGTACAGTAGCTGTATAATTAATAATATGTAAAGATATTTGGATAGTTAAACTTTCAGCCTCAGACTACCTTACCATATTTCTGCTGGGCCATATGCAGAAGGTATAGTCTACAAGTTACAATTTGACCATTATGTGGAGTTCAATGAAGATACAACAACTTGACATTCATTTCCAGGCTTCCAATTTTGATTATGGTAGGATGGGTTTGGCATTTGGTTCTCTTTCTTTCCTCCCAATTGGTTCATTTCTGCAAAGTACATAAGCTTGTGACCAGTTTAGCTATTCATGCCTTGATGACCACGATGCAGAGGTAAGCTGACTGTCTGAACAATCCCAGACAGACTTGCAGTTTATTTGCTCCCAGTAGTACCAGACATCTCCTGAATGTTTAAGATTCCAACTTTCATTTTACCAGCCAGCATGGCCAGGATAAACTGACTGAAGATCAAGAAATGTGATTAGCATCAAATTGCTTGTTACTGAATTAGATGGGTCACTATTAATAGACCTGGGAGTGATTGTAGCATTAAGTATCAATGTATGCTCAACGGTAATGAAAATTATATAATCCATATGGCAATTCTTAATTTTAATCTTCCTGTGATTAAATATTATATTTTGGTAACAATTTATGGAAATCACTCAAGAATGGATCTAAGATTTGGGGTGACAAATATGTGTACCTCTGCAGTTTTGAGTTTTATATCTTTTCTTAATTCAGTGGCCTTAGTCAGTTAATAGGATTGGTATTGATCAAGGATTTATGGGAACTATAAATCATATTTTAAGGATGTCTTGTGGGAAAAGTTGATTATTCTTTTATAACAATATAAGAAATTACATTTTTCATCAGTAAACCTTTTTCCTTTCATTTTCAGATGTTTGGAAATTAATGAAGTGTTCAAATCTACCATTAGACTAATGAAATAACCTTCGTTGAATGTTGTCAAATATTTTACGTAAATTTGACTAATCTTCCACATTATTTCTTTGAAAATTTGAAAAAACAAACCAATTGATGTCAGAACAGCAGGAAAAAATTCTAAAAGAATTGAAGAAAAATCGGGAAAGAACAACATGATTGTATAAGCAAGACAAGCTAAAGGCTATTAAGGACAAAAGATTTTCATTTGTGAATCTATAACCTCAATTTTAGTTTTTCTGTTGAAACAGGAAGATTATGAAATTTAAATAGCTTGAAGAATTTTGGATAGAAAAGACTTTAAACACAATAACTGCACATTGCCAGTATAATATTTTTAAATGGGAACTTGCTTTATATTCAATGTGATAATATTGGTATGCAGAATCTATTCCAGTTCATGTAAGTTAGTTGAGTATAAAGTTACTAGTAATAAAGACCTGAAATTTCAATATTGCCTGGATTTTTTCTTACAAAATGCTTAATGTCCCAATTTATAATGCCCTTGGCAATTGTGCTGAAGCAATAGAAGACTGTTGATATATGCAATATAGTACTAAATTAGAATAATGCATAGTATAAAATTATGAAATGTTTTAAGCAGCAGTTGCTGTGTTTTCTTAATTAATTCTTCAATCTGAATTTAAATTTGCAGGGGAAAAGGAAACACAAACAAATTGTGTATACCTGACAAAAACTGACATACTGAATTATAATGCTTAAACTCTGCATTTTTGAAGCTCTCTTCCATCCTACATTTAGATAAGTTAATAAGTTAAAATCAAGATGAGCCACAAACAGATACATG